TAAAAAGTTGGAACTTTTGTAAGACAATTGTTGCATATGTACGAAATAATAAATGCGTTAATTTGAGTGAGTTTTGATTTAACACTTCTTTTTTTTCTGTGTAACAACCAAACACTTAGTTTTATATCCAGATAAGCATTCAATGTGAATGATGATATTGTGACGACATAAAGTGTGAGATTGTAGAATATGATTAAAACACTCTAGTAGCTTTTCACACTTCTTCTGTATCGCATGTCGATGTGCGTAGAGAAATTTGCATTTATCTACCTGCGCATTAGTAACGTCTGGAATAAATTCCAAGAGCAGATTGCATCTTTCAATGAAAAATACACTGATTACATAGCAAATGGATAAATATTTAAAAAAAAAATTAGCGTTATGACTTCAAGAGTTATTGCAATCGAACATCGGCGAGTTATCATGTACGAGAAATAAAATGAATGCGTAGTCTCACTGACAGCGATCAGCAGTTTTTATAGTCATGATTGAAGCTAAATATCCACTAATTGTAAGTTGTGTGTAGTTAAACAGATCGTAGTCCGATCAATGATTCAAATATCAAGGAAAAACTCGATTTAAATATCAAGACAAGAAAAATATGAAAACGGAAAAAAATAAAAATAATATTATAGAGAACAACAATTATTTCTTGTTTAATTTTTTTCATTAAAATAAAATACTTAGAAATAACTAAAACAATAAAGTAATTAAGAAACAATTGCAAATAAATCATCTATAACTAAAATAAATGCTAATAAATCATTTGTACACTCTATATCGTATCAGGATTTAAAAAAAAAACACACAGAAATAATATTGAAAAGTTTTCTCTTTGTGGAGAAGAGCATTAGTTTTTACAAGCTGTTTAACGAAAATCTACAAGAGATGATATTTGCCAAAATATGACAAACGCTTCACATTTTCGAGCGTGTTTATTCTGTCTGATAATATCCAATATAAAATTTTTTTTTAATTATTAATTATAAATTAATAATTTTTCTGTCTTCTCTAATTAAGAAATGAGAGAGAGAAAGAAAGAGAGAAAATATATAGTTAGATTATATTATGTGTATATGTTTTATATGTATGTACGTCTGTGTTTTGACTACCAGGAAATTCTGATCATTAAAGTGGACCACTTCGGCAAATTTTCGGAAAAATGCAAAGAAATGTAAAATATGCAACGTCATCTGCGTAAGTAGATTGTCAATATCATTAATGCGATTCTAAGGAATGCAGGTGTACGAACGCGCGTTTTAGCATGTGTAAAGATGGTCGAGCCTTTATGAATATATCTCACATTGATCATTGTAAACACGTGGACGCGGTGACGTTTCGTGCAAACAAAAGCGTCGCTGTTCCTTGAAATTATTGAAAATTTCATTATTCATGATGTCATCGAAAATATTGACAGCTAAGAATGCCGCGTATTGTCCACGTCCGTCGCGACGATCCCGTCATCTTCCATCGCAGCATATCGGCACGAAAACAAAATTCAACGGAAAACGACGCGCGTACGTCGTACACGTTAATTTTCATAGTAAGCAAGATCCCGGGTAACGTCACCTCGCACTGCCAAATCTACGAGCCAGTAACGCGATATTGCCCGAGACAGGCCGGTCACGAAGGGAACGTGCGTCAAATCGGCAAAGTGCTTCGAAATATTTCAGAACGGGAGCGCGAGAAAAGGGATTTGAGATGGGATTTGTTGAGCGCCGTGCAATCACGTCGCGTTCGTATATAGATATACAGAACAGGCTTAATTTGAAACGTAACATACGGCATTGTTTCTTGAATCGGCGTGAACTAGATCTTGCACGGTAAGGTACCTACTCGAGTGTTTCGCTCTGATGTTGACTCGCTTAGAAATATAAAAGTCGATCTCTCTGAAGAGGTTTATCTTATGCGAGAAAAGATTTGTAAAAAATACAATTGTTTTCACTGGTCGTACTATATATCTCGAGATATCTAGAACTTGTCAAAATCGGAAAGAGACACTTGCGTATGTTAGAAAATATCGAATCGTTCGTCATGAGAGAAAGAGAGCAGAAAATGAAACAAGGAGAAATGTTTACATGCAAGAATACGTTTGTTGGGACGGAAGGGGATCCGCTGGCCGCGGATGGAATTTCCTAATCACTCGAGATACGAGGGTCGGGATGAAGAATCGCCGTTCTAAGGCCGTGGGGAAAATCGATTTCCGTCGGAATAACGCGCGAACGGCCAGCATCCCGCGGCCCAGCAGCTCTCGAAGAGGACCAGCAGAGTAGATCGCTTTCGCTGACCGCCGCCGTTGTAACCGTCGTCGATATATGCCAACATGCCTGACCGGCATCGTGACTTGCGTAACTTTGGGGGAATTGTTACGTAGAACAGCGACTACGCTTTTTTCTCTCTTTCTCTCTCTCTCTTTCCGAAGATAACCGGAATCGCTCTCATTCCGGTCCATTTACTCACTTTCCTCTCTGACGCGATCCCGCGGCGAACTTGAGGCCGGCGAACTTGCGCACTTCTCGCCGATAGAAGAGAAGTCACGGTGTTACGAAGACAAATTCGCGAGTTAACCCTGAGAACTTTACAGCCAACCTCATGTTGAATAAATGAATTTTTTCGACTCTCGACTTTTGCCCATTAGGCATAAAATATTAAAAACTGTTTTAATTCTGCGCATTCTAAATTACAGTCGTAAATTCTCGTATAAAAATATTGAAGTTACTTATTACAAATTGCGAGTGATTAAAATTAAACATTCATAAAATCTTGATCACTCAAGGTCCGTAATTACGTATGCATGCGCACAAGTACACTGATTGGTTTCATTAATCATGTCCGGTTTTGATTTTTAAGTTACACATAAATCATCATTTATTTTAATACAAAATGAGATTAAAATTTTAAATTTTTGCTCATATATTTCTTCCTTATCGCTTATGAATAATATAAATTTAATTATATCCCATGGGTGTAAAATTATATATGTCATGCTAGATGAGATATGCACGACAACGGAATATTTTTGCGGAGAGAAAAGGAAAGTTTTATATATAACGCCGATTGTAAATTTATATACTATATAAATAATTTAAAAGAGGAAGATATATTTATTAGAAAATATATTTATTAGAAATGAGAGACTATAATATTAGAGCATTATATGTACATTGTACATGCTGGATTTATTTTTAGATTTATCAAATTTTGTATTTTTCAAAATAGTATGAGGACGAAATTAAAAAAAAGAAATTAAAATAAGCGGAAGTAAAGACTATAAGAGTCAAACGCAGATCTCCGTGATTAATATCAGAAATAACTGATTTATTGGTCGTTGTGATTTACATCGATCCGTACATTTCGGCTCAACTTTGAGCCATCCTCAGCGGTATAATATCATATGGTACGGAAAACGTTTAATATATTATTTTAATTTATACCGCTGAGGATAGCTCAAAGTTGAGCCGAAACGTGCGGATCGATGTAAATCACAACGACCAATAAATCATTATTTCTGATATTACGCGCACGGAGATCTGCGTCTGACCTTTATAGCCTTTACTTCTCTTATTTTGTATTTTTCTAACAATAAGACAAAAATTTGCAATCCTGAAATATACTGAGATCCTGACCTAAACTTTCAAATAAATCAAGACATCTAGCTTGACGATATATAAGTGTATGGTAATAGACCGACACGATAAAAAGAAAGTAGGTTTCTGTAGAACGCATTTTATATGATGCAATAATTGAACGAGAGAAAGAAAAAAAAATGGTTTCGCGCTCGTTGCACAAACATATCGGTATATCCCGTTTGCTAATTAGTTTTTCATAACATGCCTTCTGTGCAGAGTTGCAAAATAAATTATAATAATGTGATTATAACGTAATGTAGTATATAGGAGAATGTTACAATGTGTGTGTCTGTGCGTGTGACGCATAAACAGAAGTATGTATTGTCAAACGTTCTTCATACGACGGAACATAGAGAAGTTAAAGACCTGCAGACGTTCGATATTTTTCACAATTGACTTGTAAACTATATATATATTGAAAATTTTTGTTTCGTTAATTAATAAATAACTATATTTGTGTGAAAATAAACTATGCGTAACCAAAAATAAAATAAGTAAATAAGCTATGTTCACAGCTAATGACAGCTGTCAAATTAAATCAATTTTCTTAGGATTTTCTTGAAACTGTGAATATACGTTAATTTAGGTGTGCTTTATGCGTGGTATAAATTTCAGTACCTCTTCCGGTATAAAAAATAAAGATACTGAGCCTCAAAGTTTCAAATTTTACTAATGAAAAGGTTTTCCAGGCCAAACGGTAAGAGATACGAGGTTGACCAAGAGGATCAAAGTTGCTCCTCTCGTCGAGTTCTATAAGGAAAAAATGCCAAATCTAAAAACAATTAAATTTAAATTTTTTTTTAAACTTTGAGGCTCAATATCTTTATTTTTTATACCGGAAGAGTTACTGAAATTTATACCACGCATAAAGCACACTTAAATTAACGTATATTCACAGTTTCAAGAAAATCCTAAGAAAATCGATTTTCTCTAGTATAAGGACGAGAGAACGTCCTTGATATATAGAAATAAATATGATTTAATTCCTCCCCGAAACAAAAAAATAGTTTTCAGTATATATTTTACAAGTCGATTCTATCGATTTGTAAGTGTTGATTTTTATTGAAGCATGTTTCCACTTAGGATATATTTAGCGAGAATTTTTATCGTACATTTTCTCAGTTCTGACGTCACAATCTAAGATAGTAGTGGTGAGTGAACAGGAGCCTTAACTGCAAGATACAAATGAAGATACTTTCGGCCTCCTGGATTAGGCAAATTTCACACTTGGCGTTCATCACCCGGGATGCTGCGAAGCGGCCGAATCCACGGGCAAAATTACGGTTGAACGTCGTACCGCGGGATGGCGCTAGATTTCCGACGCGCCTCGCCGGCGCCGGTCTCGCGGAGACCGTCACAACCGCTCCCGCGCCCGTGGTGTTCGCCCGTTCCGTCGCTTCCGTCACTTCCGTCTACGCGATCACCTATCCGGCGCGATTAGCGATTAAATAAAGAAGGACAGCTACACAAGATTCTTCGAACGAACGTCGCGTAAAGAGAGGAGAAAAAAAGGGAGTGCACGCCGGTGAAAGAGAGAGAGAGAGAGAGATAGAGACGGAGACGGAGAGACGAACGAGCCGGTCGGTGCAGAAGTGCGCGCAGGTAACACGGGCGTCGGGCGGAGTTAACACGAGGGAGAACGGAGCAGAACGAAGCAGAGGATGTAGGATCGCGCCGGTGTCAAAGGGAGACGGAAGAGACGACAACGGCGGTAGTGGCACTAGTGGCGGCGATAGGATAGGTAGGACGCGGTCGGGGGGGAGGCGATCGACTACGTTCAGCGGCTGGCGGGCGAGCGAGGCAGCGAGCGAGCGGCATAGGCGAGAGACTCGTCGGCGGCAGTGGACGGACGGACGGCACGGCAGCGGACGGCGGCAGCGTCGGTGCTAAAAGGCGGGGACGGTCGTCGCTCGAGCGTGACCGCGTGTGTGATCTTAGCAGCGCGGCGCCAGCCCAGAGAGTGTCCAGTGTCCAGTCCCTCTCCCTTTCTCTCTCTCTCTCTCTCTCTTTCACCCGGTTCGCCTTGGTTCGTCTCTCTCCTCCGTGCCTTCGCGTGTGCGTCTCTCTCTCCTCCATCTCCGTCGTCCCTCTTCTTCCGCTTCGCCTCCCCCTTTCCGTGCATCCACCGCCGGGCGACGTAGAAGAGGAGGAAGACGACGACGCGTGCCCGCTCGACGGCCGAAGAAAACTTGCGGCCGACGGCGGGCAGTCGTTACTCGAGTTTACCGAGCCGCAACGGCGAGAGGCATAATTTCTCGTCATTCACCCGTTCGTTCGTTCGCTCGCTCGCTCGCTCGCGGCACACTTCATCACGAGGTCGCGGCCGCGCGGGAAGAAACCGACCGACCGACCGCCGGCGCCGAGGGGAAGCGACGACGATCACGGAAGAAGAGAAGCGGCGCCGAGGTTGTTGCCTCCGCGCTCACAGTTTTCCGAGGGAAGGTGGTGTGTCGTGCGTTTATGTGCGCGGTCAGGTGACAAAGGGAGAGACAACGACGACGAACGCGGGGTGTTGTCGCTGCTGCTGCTGCTGTTGCCGTCGCCGTTGCCGTTACTCCATCGCTGCTGTTAACGTTGCCGCGAGATCACGTAATCGCCGACGTGCTGCTGCCGGCTACGCGCTGGTGCTCGCGAACGAAGGGTGCTCGGTGGCGACGACGGACGGTAACCGGAGCGGACCATCCCACGGGGGCGGCGAGGAGAAAAGGGACGTGGAATAGCAGGTGGGTGTAACCCGCGTTGACGGCGATTCGCGCGCGGCCACGTTAACGGCCGGCGGGGCGCGCCGCGTGATCGTGCACGCGCGCCCGCGGCGCGTGTACCGGCGTCCGCCGCGGCGGTTACTTTGAGGTTAAGTGACGCACCTGCGATCGATCTGCGCCCGCCCCGCGGAGAGGAAACCTAATCTCGGAGCGACGATCGGGCGAGCCAGGAACGCGCGGAACGAAGGACGCGACCGAGGGAAATCGGCGCGCGGTATCTCGCGTTTCTCGACGTCGCTCGGCCAGGATAATGCGCGAGGAATGCGGCGGCCTCGTCCCCGCGAGCGCGCGAGTTTTCGTCCGTCCCTCGAGAGGATCGGCGCGCCGCGCCGGGTCTCTCCGGTTTGAGCGTTTTGTTATTCGCTCGGCGTTTCATTCGGCTCTTTTCTCGTTCCAACCGGCATACCCCGGGCTTGTAACCCCCCAAAATAACTTTCTAACCCAAATTCTTTCAAATTCGCGAACCGTCGGAATGTCAAGTATACGCGAGACTTGACGCGTTGTTCTTGTGTGATATCTGGTTACCCTTGAATGTGAGAAAGATCGAAGCGAACGAGGAAGAGGTTTGACATTCGCTCGAAGATAACTGTTCGCTCATTAACATTCGAGTGTCCTCGATAATTTTTCGTCTTTTCGTGCCAGCGCGATTTATTGAGTCTTGCGTCTCTGATCTCGATGAAATGGTCTCGCAAAAGGAATTTAGAAATTTAAACAATTAGGGAAGAATGCCATTTTACGGTCGCGACTGGGTCTTGGTAGCCTAATGATATTATTCATGAATTTGTACTACTATTATTGTTCTAGCTTTAATTGGACAATTAGAGATCACATTTCAAGACCGTAAGTAACGGCGCGTGGTTTACTCTAAAACTAAGGCGAAGAACTGTACATAAAATTCACACGAATAATATTATTATTATTATTAGACTACCAAGATCCAGTCCTGACAGAAAAATTACGTTTTTCCCAAATCGATTGTACATTATATCGTATATCGGTCGTGTTTTCACTTATTTATTTATCAGAAATTTATATTGTGTGTATGTGCATTAATACTGATATATTATAAAAAAATATAAAGTCGTATGATTCTCGGGAGATCAATAATTTCTACAATGTAATACATAATAAATGTAATTTTATGCGAGTAGTATTCTGTGTAACAAAAATAAGGTATTTATTCACTATACGGGCACCACTTCTGAAATAAATACATATAATAGTAAATTTAATTATCGTTACTTGAACAAATAATGTAAATAGGTTAGTAATCGCTGTACTGTCAAGTAGAAAAAAAAATTAAAAGCAGCGCTCGCGTCCAACGAATAAGTAAATCACTAAACTGCAAAACGACGCCGGAGATTTTTAACGATAAATAATGCACGCGCGATCCGTTTAATATATTCCAACCTTAATTACTATTGATTACTATAATGACGGACGAGCGTCAGAAAATATAATTTTATTTCGCAAACTACACATTATTTGCGATGAAAATTGTAGCAAAAACTTTTCGTGCCGTAAATAAGCAGGGAAAAACAACCAAGGGTATAAGACAAACAAGATTGAATAACGTTTGGGAAAAAAATAACTTCCGTTTGTTCGTTCTTCCACGCGTGTTCTCATCAGCCGCCGCAACGTACTTAACGATTCAATCAGCGTTTTCGATAAAGCGCCGCGCCGTAATCATACGCTTTACGCAAAATTTACTTTCGTTGTAATCGCCAAGCCTCGCTATATACTGACGGCTCGAGAGCGGTTCATTCGGGCGCTTTCTCTCTTACGTTCAAACGGCACGCTGCTGAAACGTTATATTAGCTGATAACCAATACCCATAACTCGCGGTGAACTTGGTTGATGTCTTAACATTCTTGTATCTTAATTTCTATGCGCGCCAATAACTGATAGTTGAATCGTATGCGACGCTCCTCGGCTTCCGCTCCGAAAAAAATTTCATTCCGTGGAATTTTACCGAGTACCCCTAATTGTAAATTGTACCCCTAATTGTAAATTGAGCTCTTTATCAATTGAAAAATAAATTGTACGAGACGATCCACGTTCGTTCTAACGCCCCCCCTCGAATCGCGCGTAGAAACCTTCGCGACGTTATAATGCCCGCCAACATCGAAAATGTTGCTCGGAGCAAATAAATGTCGCGACCAGACACGGCATTGCCAGAAGAGTAACTTTGTAATTTGAAACGCTGCAAATGGCTGCGAGGTTGAAACTTTACGAAGGCAATAACGTTACATCGTCGTTGCGGGTATTGTCACTTTGTAATTCTATCTAGTGCTAATTAAACGCCTATAAAAATATTAACTAGTCCAATGCCTTGCATAAAGTATATAAACTCAAAACATTTGTAGTTGTCTCTTCCTTTTTTTTCGCTTTAGAATATTTATGTAATCGACAAAAATGTTCCCACATTTTTATCTTCAAATATTCAAGCGTTATGAAACTCGAGAAAACGTTGGATGTTTTATATGTTTTATTAGTTTTGGACGTTCAAAAGTTTAACGCGTTCAGAGTTATCAGAATTCGCCGCAAGAAGTTTAAAAAGACACGAAAGATTTGATGCCGACTCTAATAAAACTTTGGAGATTAATGCCACTTTCGATTTCAGCATCGTAACGTACGATAGTCTTTCATGAAGTTACATGAAAATTATCGCTTCACATCGACCTCTTATTATAGTCGAAACCGTAATTAAAAAATCTGAATCGTAACAAAGGGTAATCATAATAAGAAACCTTAATAATCACCTTCATAGTAAGAAATAATGAATATTTTCCCTACGATAGCATCAAGCTTATGTCAAGAAAAGTGTTACGTGAATTTTAGCCGTTACCTGTATTCTTAGATTTCTCTGATTAACTGCTTGAAAGCTAATTAAATCGCTAAGATGCATCTCATGCCTATATGTAAAAATACGCATGCTATTTGCGGCAATTTGTTTATTTGTAGTGTTGACTCAAATGCCGTCAGCAAAATATTGCGGACTATCATTAGCAATCGCGCGTCTGCACGAGTGATTGGATGATATCGCATGTTGGTTGCGCCTATTAGTAAATAAATAAATAAATAAAGACGACGCGGAATATATCGGAAACGCGACGAGTGCTTTTTGTTTTTCGACTTCGCGGGATATCTGTTTTTTTATTTGTAAATTCAATATTTATGCAAATCAAATAGAATCGCCTCGCGAGTCCTCGCACGCCCGCAGCTATTATACACTCCGCGCTGGCCGGTTTAATCGAAACGGTCTCGAGCCACGATTCGAAAAAAAAAAAGAGAAAAAACGCGAAGTACACCGTGTAAATATAGAATACACGCGCTTTGACCGCATAGTCGCGTGCCAACGTTGGGCTATCGATAAAAGCCTCGTTCCTACGTTCGATCGTTGTATTCTTACGTAGGGTATGAAGTTTAATCCTTCGCGTCTCGACCCTTTATAACAGCGCTGCAGCGGGATTTTTTAATTTCACGATTGACCTAAAATACAAAAGTTTCGATTAGTGTCTGATAATTATACCCGGTATATGTATCAGAGCCTGATGACCATGTATTTTGTGTATGATTACTAACATCATATATCTTGTATCAATATTGCAACGAGGACATTCTTTCGAAGAATTTGCTTACGAAAGAATTAAGAGAAAGTGCGACTTGCATGGCCGATTACGTACGCAAGTTTCAAACGATTCCTGCGTATGACGTATTTTGGCTAGAACCGATTACCGATTGATTAGACATTGAGCACAATTCTGTTTCAAGTAAAAACAATGAAACGTTGGGAAAAAAGAACGTGGAAGAAAGAGCAACGTGACTTAATATGCAGCATGCAGCTTATACATCTTCCAATCTTCGTGCGTTCAATGCCAACAGGAATATCTTATTACTGTTTGACACGTATTCATAATAAATCAATTTCAAGCATCAAATTATCGCTTTTCTCGCCTTTATCCGCGATTTCTGCCTTGATCGTCGCAGCCAAACGTGACTGCTTCGCGTTGTCATTTGTCGCGATAACGTATCTTCCATTACGATTAATCGAAGATGTACGAGGAACTCGCGATAATCATTATAATCAAGAGACGTGGCTATTCTTAATTACGGTACGAAAATAACATTCCGTCCGCGATATAAAAAACGATAAAGCGATGATTACGTTGACCGGTATTATTTAATCTTTATTACGTGTCGTTCGTATAATCGGCTGTATTACAGCAAGACGGCGAGCGAATACAACTTTCTACTCTCATAGAACGCTATAAATAACGGCGAAATTACGTTCATTTAAAAATTATAAATTAAACGCTACCGTTTTTTTTTCCAATTGAACTCGCGCTACAAATTGTAGAAATGTTGACGTTTTCTCTACTTTTCTATTTCCATTGTGTTTACCTTTCACGGAATGCAACTTGTAACACATACTTCGCACGCGAAACCTGTTAAGCCGTATACTTACATTCAATTATGCAGTTAATCGATTTATAGTAATCTATAATTTATCAGTTAATTATGGTATAAGGATGTTTTTTTTATTATTTATTTGAATATTTAATACGTATTTTGATATTAAAATTGTTGTTCAATCCATAATTCTCTCATGGATATCTACATCAGTCATAGAATTATAAATATCAAATTTACATTTTTTCGTGTTTAAATGTTAGAAATCTAATATTGCACTCATAAATGCAAATTATTGCATTGCATTGGAATTGTATTAAAGCGTAACAAATTTGTATTACCTTTTTATGACTTTTTTTATTTGCGATGCAATACTATATAAAAAAGTTTACAATTTGATTTTGTAATACTGTCGATAATAAGATGTTACAAATATTAATATTGATTTAACTGACTATTAACGAGATATCGCTGTTAATTAGTATCAAAATTTTGATTAACCGCGTACAGTTCTGTTCAGTTTTATTAAACGACACGTAATTCGGTAATTCATGAATGGCATTCGCGATAGAAAATTCGATAATTTAATTGATGATATTTAACCGATAATGCATCGCGATGTGAATCATGAACAAGCGGCTGTTTGACGACGTAATCAGCCGTGTTACGAACAATACGAATCTGTCAGAATCAGAAAATGCTAAGAGTAGACTATTTAACTCCATATAGGTATATGGTATTACGATAAAATTACGTAAGGCATCCTTGAATCTCTATTAAGAATAATCTTGAAAATAGATCTGAAATTGCTTTTTTGCTTGCAGAATTTAAATTTAATATAATGCGCTTTTTTATGATTTCCGGAATACATAATATTCGACGTTAAATGTTTTATAACGTTGTTTTAAATTAACGCTCGTTCGAAATTGAATAGAGTAACATGTTTTTTTTTTGTTTTTTTTTCTTCTTCTTAAAGATGAGACTAAGTAAGTGACTATAAATTTAAATGTTATTGACGTCTCAACAGCTTCATTAGAAAAAAACTTTATTTCCAAATTGATCAAAATATATAACTGAAAAGATTGGCAGCTTAATTAAAAATTTCTCCAAACAGGCCAGTTTGATTGCGAGATTAGTTAGAAGTTACGCGTGCGATTACGCATTGTTTCGTGTATAAACAAAATGTGTAATAACTTGCTTGCACTGCACGATTGGATCTGAAGGATATCATTCACGTTATCATTACGATAACATTTTTATATATAGTAATTTTAAATGTGGAATCTTTAACATTAAAAGGATTAACTGCGATCGAATAAATATTACGCAATGCTAATTTAAATGAAAGGAAATAAAATCAAGGCACGTGTATATTTATTTAATTATTTAAAATTATGGTAAATACCTGACCTATAAGAAGAACTGCTAATTTATTTTTCTTTTATGATTATTACATTTTATAATGTAACTCGGCGGTAAGAAATAGAAACTGATCCTAAAACTACCTGTGTGGCAACAAAAATTATTGCGCGACATAAATTACACGATTTCCTGTTGAAATAGCAATAATAATTGCTAAAAGTCATAATAAAATTGATAGACGATACGTGGAGACCTTGCATTTCGCACAAGATATGCAATTAATAGTGTTTTATATAGAACGTCGTATATCTATGAAAGATACAAATGCGAAAGAATTAAAAATGAACATTAAGAAAGGAATGTCGCACCGTTATCGTAATTAGACGGAATATTTGCAATTCGAATGCAGGATTGATTTATTAGAAACGCACTTAAGCGCACACCTCTAGAAGAGAAAATGTCAAACTGATTAATCCGGTTTTACGTCGCTGATAAACCATCACGTGACCGTGCCACAATCGTGCCGATAACGAAATGAGTTTTGTACCGGTTATCTAAAAAATGCTTAAATGCCGTGCCTACTCTTTTAGCGCAAAAATACAACACAATTCTTTTTCTCCATAAGTCAAATATCGTAATTTTATAAACCGCGTGCGGTATACGTCACACATACACATGCGTCCCTTCCGCGCTCTCCTTTAAACTGCCTAACTCTGGTGCAATTGTTTTTGACGCGCCGTAATCGTGTATTTAGTAACTTTCTCGCGGCACACTTCGCGGTACCGAAGGTAGCCTCCTTCGTGTCACTTTTCCGTCTCTCCTTTTTCTCTTTCTCCTTTTTGTTTCGAAGGCCTGCCACCGACGTCTGCTCACCTGTCTGTTTTACGTAATACGCATAATCGACCGGGGAAGCTACGCCACGTCGGGAAAGCGGGGGAGAGAAATTTACGCGACTCGATAAGTCTCGGCTAAATCCCGTTTTGCACCGACAAATGCTTTGGTCGCTATCGGCATTATATCTTCTCTTAAACATTCAATAATGACGACGACTAAACATAAGTCTCTTTGATATAAAATTTCACCGATAAGAAGAGAGGATTGATAACGGCATTCACAAGTGTTGATACGGTTAATATTCGTACCACATACGATGCGTTCTATAACGATCAGATTTTTTAATTCGATGGCAAATTAAATCGAGTGCAAAAGAAAACTTGATACGAATTTTTGGATCAAAAGAAAGCTTTATTAAATATTTTATGTAATGTAATTTGTTTTGTACTATTTATGTATTTATTATAGAAAAATCAAGTTGTGCCGAATTAATGAATTTGCCGGACTATCGGAATGTAAGAAATATAGGAGGTATACATAAATAAAATAATTGTGTATTTTGAAACTTCTGATTTTACTAATAATTTATCATATCATTCATCTAGCATAGCCCTTTTAATAGTGTTAGAATTAATAAGATATTGTACTATATTTGAATGTCTACTTAATCACCTCATTTAGAAACGAACACTGCGCTTGCATACTTACAATCTGCTATTTTATATTAATTATTAAAGCGACAAAATTGGCATTTGTGTGTGTGGTGTGTGTGTGTGTATGTGTGTGTGTGTGTGTGTGAGAGAGAGAGAGATTTTTATTGAGCAAATCAATTAACATGTTTATATTTAACATTGAAAATGATGTAATATAACTAATTATAATGTAATACTAATAATATAATTAATTACTCGGATATGTTGAAATATGTTGGTGTTCAAATAAGAGTTGACATGAAAAATGGCTAGAAATGCCATCGCTACGAAAAAGATTAGGGAGTATTTGCAAAAACTCCCTTTTAATTGGAATAAAATATCCTATCATTGAAAGCAGTCGTGATGAATCTACACGTCATTTTGGGTTACATAATCGTAACCTATAAACGTTATACAATAAACAAATTTCTTGACGTTTCCATTAAAAGAATATTGGCAGATAATAAACAAGGTACATAATGACCATATCACATTTCAACGTAGAAGAATAATTTCTTATTCGTGGCACAGCGCGCGAAGTCAAACTCGGCGCCGTCTTTACACCGCTTGAACAATCATCGTGCCCGCATGCACTAAGTGCACTTATCAAATATGAATTAACTACGTAACCGCACGCGTAGGTCCGTATTCACTTTAACGCGATCGAGCGCATAAATACGCCCACATATACAGTCGGTCGCGCTCGACTACGCCTACCTTCCTTACACCGAGATTAGAGCTCAGTGTGTCAATGGCAAACGTCATCGCGGTCGTCGGTTTCAATGAAGATATTCGACGAAATGTTAGCTTGAGCACATTCTACGGGTGACCGTTACTTCGACCTACTAACAGACGGCATATTTGACACACAAAATCGGGACGAGGCGTGAGCGTATTAAGAAAATCGCACGTGAATTCGCTCGGAAGGAAATTAGCTCGGGATAGTCGATAAATCCTGTAGATGTAAAACGAAATTTAAAAGAAAAAGTAATAGCTTTGCGCTGTATCTTTATTATTGTATTATAGAAGAGACCGTTTCTTAAAACATTTTATAAAAGTTAAACAATTAGTTCTCATGTATACATTTATATACATTTTATACATTTTTGGAGCATTGCTATAATCTTGACGGAGTATTCTCAGATGATAGTTATACTTGTTATTCACAAAAGTATAAGAGACAAGTCACAAGCGGACGTATTCTTTGGAATTGATTGATTTTTCCGGTTTATTTCAGAATCATATATGATTCAAACAAAAACATCGATAGACAAAGGAAAGCCCTTCTTTTTCGTTCGCTATCAATGCTAGTCATAATTGAAATATATTTCTATGCGACCTTAAAGGTTTCATTGAATTATGAAATTTTCAGCGATGGCTCTTAGCGAAACTTCTCTTTCCTCCGCGCCTTTATGGGAATTTCACTTAACACAACGTATACTGTGTATACCTTCATAGGTTTCATTCAGAATCGTTACTAACACGCGCGAGAGAGAAATAAAAGAGTCATCGTTTTCTAGTCAATGAAAGCATTGAGAATATTGCAAATATGTGTTCAAAGGAAACGATAGAATTGACTTCATTAGCATCATACTGATTTTAATATACATATATTATATTGAAACGTGTCGTTCTAAGTGCGTTATCCTTGACCGTACTTCGTTGGAACACTGTAAATCCAAGTGTGTTATTTCTACACACATAAACGTTTAAAAATTACAGATTTGACTGAAGCTCGTTTCACACACATGTTTTGTTGCGTGTTAAATTAACGCATTTAATCGTATTACATTGAAAAATTAATACGTTCAAATGACGTGATTTAAAAAAAAAATTTTAACCGTGTCAAATGACGTGATTTAAAACGGCAAGAAATGTGTAAGAAGAACTTCAGTTAAAATAACACACTTGGATTTGCAGTGAAAAAGCGTTGCTCTCTCGAAAGCAAAATACGAAAAAATAATTCTTATTATACTTCACTTTCAGATACTGTTCAAGATGACGAGCGCAGTGACGAGCCTGGTGCATAGTTATAGGGACCTTATGGACAATCAGTCCGGTAAGTCCGATATATTTCAATTCTAACATACTTTAACTCCCGCATCCAAGATCCCCCCGATATCTTTTTTATACATAATTCCATTCTATACATAAATTCTAATGTAGAATGTGCTTGTTTTTTTCACGAATTCATAAACTAACGAAAAAAATTAAATGAGTAGAATATCAATTCTTTACCTATAGACCTATACCATTAGGATAGAGCTTTACAAATACGCGTTACCATTCCGAAACGTTCTCTCGAAACAAGTTTCGAAAACTCGTTCGCTGTTACCATTCGAAAATTGGCTTTCACGGACAAATAGACGCGACCGTAAAAATGGATTGTTTCTCTGCAGAAGATCTCGCAGAATGCTGCTAAATTATTAAAAATGGAAAATTACCAACGTCGTGATCGATATTGTTGGCGGCGAAACGTTGACAAAACTGGAATTAATGCATGAGATGCATAGACATTTTTTCATGCGCAGTATATACTCGAATTCTGATGACATTTTCCCTGAACGACGATCGCGATAATGTTGCCATTTGACACATCGAATTCTAATCTCGGCATAAGGAAGTAACGCCACTAAAAGCTATTTGAGCTGTAGAATCGAATGACGGTAAAAAATGTTCGTTCCACTTTTGACAAGACTTGATAAATTCACGAGATTGAAAAGTAGCCCATCAAGTAATACATTCTATGTTGACACATTGCGTCAATGAGCCACGTGAATTAATGTAATCAACACACGGTGAAATGTGTTTATGCGCGCCGTTCTTTTCTTACCGGCATTATGTAACAGCCAGTAGTTTCGCAAATATGGTAATAGGGGAGAGATAAAGTAAAGGACATTTATGTAACGCGGCTTATTAAATGGTCCAGTATTGGATGTTTAATTAGATGACGTAACGTTCGCGTACGCGATATGTTGACGGACAAGGAAGAAAGGGGATCGCGCATCTCGCCCCGATGTTTTCTCGCCGATCGGATGACCGTGTACGAGAGAGGCCGTACAAATTTGCTCGAGAGGTCGGATGAACGACGACGAGAAGCTCTTCTCGACGGAAATCCCGCGCGTATTACAACCGAAATTTCAACGATTCCGAGAGTCTGTTTACCGCGCGTATTTTCACGGCGACGAGAACCCTCCCTCCCTCCAGCCCCCCTTCCTCTCCCCCCCTTCGGAATCTTCCGGCGTGGGGCGAGTCAATATCGTGTCGTAACGGCCGGCAAGCGTTCCGTTTCTAATTTCTCCGAGAGCCATTCGGGGAATCCTTGACCCCCGTTTTCCATACGAGTCACTCGGCAGTTCCTGTTTCGACATCTTTCGCGATATTCGCGTGCAATGGCGAGATACGATAGCGAAAACGAAACTCCCAGTAATTTTGATAGAATATCTTATCCGTTTGTCTCTTTGCAGTTTAATTTTGAGAATAAATTATTTTTATTGCTAATAACTGGACATATTTACAGCCGCTGAAGTAAATTTATGTCACTTTAAGCTCTATTAGGTAATTGCCGCTGTACGTAATTTCATGTACGTTATTTTATATCTTTAGGAAGGCAGATGACTTTTAATTCGTATTTATGATTATTGCGATTATCTAACGCTAAATTTTCCGCCACTTAATCCCTTCAACTATGCACTTTCGTGTCCCAGGCGTTTTTCAGTATGTTAATAGCTTTGAAAAATTCCCCCAAAATTGTTATAATATCTTTATACCTTCGACTAAAAACCAATGTAAAGAAATTTAAAATATTTTTTAAAATATTTTTTTTAAGTTCATCAAAATGAGCGTTTAAAAGATCAAGAACTTATTTAAAAAAATTGTTTTGATCCGGACGTGAATTTGACTCGTGTCTCCCAGTTAGACGTCATACCCTAAAATCGCCGGTGAATTATAATATATCTTCCAGTATACTTAGAAAGAAAAAATTTATTCAAATTAGCCGACCAAAAATTCACAAACGATTAAAAAGACTTTTACGAGATATGATTTGCAATTTATATTCTAAATTATTTCGAATATCCGGGTCCTCGCGAGCAAATTGTTAAAGAAGAGAGAAATCAGTAAAAATAAAATGCTTCGTAGCAAAAAACGGTTAAACACGAAAGGTTATCTTATGACAGTTATGACAAACTTTTTTATATGTTTATTAGCGTGACTAAAATAGAATTATGGAAGATAATTAAAAGATCGATCTTGAATCACGCAATAAACCACACACGTTTGCCGGAGCCAATTGCCGGGGCATCCCTGGTATACGCCTATTCCAGAGGAATTGAAAGAGAGCTAACGTAAATAATGGACGTTCGTCTGTGGCGTCAATACGGCGTTGACGGGGTAAGATCGGCGTTATCTTTAATTGGGGCGTGACGAGAGCAAGAAAATTGCACCGTCGTCCGACATTTCGCCGCGACGCGACGCGTCTTGAAATCGATGAAAACAGTAATCCGCTAGTGTGGCGACCGATATAATATTTTTTTCCTTCTTTTTTTCCTCATTATTAATGCGGAGGGAAGGAGAAAAGGCTTTCGTGTCACGCGGAAAAACAGCTGTAAGTAACTCCGACGAAGTGGCGTCGACGTCGCGGGTATCGGTTGGCGACTCGTATTTTCCCGCTAATACCGTAGGCCGTACAGACGCGGAGGCGCCTGCCGTTGCTCGGTCGTTGCGACGACGGGCCGCCCTTTTGCCGCATTGTTGATTTCGTCAAAGTCCTCCGCGAAGGGTATTACGTAACGGCCGAATAGACGCGGATAGACGAAATTCGATGCAATATTCACCGTCGCCTAAGCGCTTCGCTTTGTCATTACAGGTTGCGTGCTTCGTAACTCGCCTGCTTGCACCCATACTTTCCTTTCCGATACCAACCGGCGGCGTGCGCTTGTTATTGGGACACCGCATCGCTCTCGCGTCGCTTTTTTTCCTAATCGATTAGTGGAGCAAAACTTCCGTGTGTATCTGACTTTCCTACGTCAATATCGATGTCAAGAGACGCGACAGTGTCTCGCGCCGAATACATAAATCTTTTAAGTCAAGATTCAACGCGCTTGGATGTTTTGAAACCGTCAACGCCGAGTCAACGCCTCGTAATCGTAAATTAAACGATCAAATTGGCTCGTTAATTATCAACAGCGTGAACTGTTAAAACCGAAGCATAATATCGACGATAAGCCGCGTCGCATCGTCAGCGTGTATAATCGAGTCGTCAATCAATTGTGTATTGACCAAGAGCTCAAGCTGAAGAATGTTGAAAAAAAGCAGAGAGAAAGGGAGAGAAGAGAGAGAGAGAGAGAGAGAGAGAAAATTGTTCCACGTATCAGTCTCGTATCCGTCGGGTCGCACGAGTGCGAGGGCAATTTAGCGGAAGGCGACTGCTCACTCATTCGCGCCTCGTGCACGCACTCGCGCCTTTTTCTGCTTCCTCGTCGTCGAGGGTGGATAGAAAAATGACGATGGCTACTTTCTAAGCTGCTCGGAAGACCGAACGTGTTACTGCATGAAAATCATCGCTCGGGATAATAATTCTCTTTCACAGGCGCGCGATTTAGAAATATTTTGATTCTGAAAGAAGACGCGCGCGAAACTGGTAGGACAACCGATCTGACATTTCTGCTAAATTTCCCTCGTAGTTGATACCCTGCGTTACAACATCGGCAGATTCGAACGCGCACTTGTCGACAATGGTGTAATAAATTCTCGTCCGCAACGGTACTTCCTGTCGCCAGTTACGAATTTTGACCCCGTTACAGGTGCGTGTCGCGGCGAAACATTGCATAATGCGGAGACAACTTTTAAATTGTCATCGCATGCTCTACTTTCCAATGTATATGATATACAGTAGACTCCCCTTCATATAACACGACGGAAAATTTTTAATATTCGTTTGTTTCAAAGTGAAATAAGAAATATTTTACTGTTACACCTTTAATATTTATTTTTAACATTTTTTTTTTTTTATAAACTTACATCTTTTATAAATGTTTCCACATGCATACATGATCTACATACACGGAGAAAATTTTATAGTAAATATTACTATGGTGTCGCACTAGCTGCGGACCATCAAGACGCACAAGTTTAAATGCTATAATCTTATATATAGTAAAATTACTATGTCCATAGCATTTAGTGCTACGATCATAGCATTTAATGCTATAATTATAGCATTGAATGCTATGATCGTAGCATGAAATGCTATGGACATAGTAATTTTACTATAAGACTATAGCATTTAAACTTGTGCGTTTTGATGGTCCGCAGTTGGTGCGACAGCATAGTAAAATTTAATATAAAATTTTCTCTGTGTATGTATAATCTATGTAACTCATATATATATATATATATATATATATATATATATATATATATATATATAACACGGAACGCATCCCTCGTGTTACACGGAGGTCTACTGTACATTATTACGAAACGTCGATACTCCGCGAGGAGCGGAAGTTTCGCTTTGTTCTTGCGCCGGCTTTCCCTAAAATCTCATCTGCTTCCTTTCTCAAATGACTTCACGCGCAAACTTTCCGCGACTTCTTTTCGTATGTGATTAAACAGTTTCTTGCTTTTCTAATGTTATACGTTCTCTCTGTTTCCAGATTCCAGGGTGAACGATTGGGTGATGATGAGCAGTCCCTTCCCAACCGTGGCGATATGCCTGTCGTACGCTTACTTTAGCAAGATTCTGGGACCGAAACTGATGGAAAATAGAAAGCCTTTCGATCTTCGGGGGGTCCTTATAACGTATAACTTCCTACAGACCCTCTTTTCCACGTGGATATTCTACGAGGTTTGTTTCTCTTACGTTATTTCTCTAACACCGGTTTTATCGCTATAGAGGAATTAACACAATAGGGGGTTTATTGTAACTACACACGACGAAATTCCTATAAATAGAAACTTCCACGTACACAAACATGTTATATTAATAATTCAAGATTAAATATGAATTAAGTAAAAGTAATTGCAATATACGAGATCTTTTAAATAAAATTGAATTAGATATCTCAAATTTGTTCACGCTCAAAAATAATTCATTTTATATCCGTTAATAAATATTGGAGTAACAGTTTTCGTCAAAATTCACGATCCACGATCGTTCGCGTTGAACGGAGTCGACGAGATTACTCCTTTTATAAATCCGTAATCGCGGCGATTCGACCGCGATTGTCTTCCCGCGCGGCGATCAACAGGGAATTGCCTTCAATTATTCCTCCTCCGCCTTTTGTTTCGACATGGTCACAATAACTGCCGTTGGCTCGATCAGGCAACAGCCTGCGGTTCCGAAGGATTACTTCGAGGGAAATCGCGATCTCCCGAGTTAAAATAATATCCTATCGAAAAGAAACAAACTTGCCGAGTGCTAAAAGCACTTCGAGATAAAACACCAATAAGTCACTGTTCTGAAGCGCCAAATAAATATTTCTTTCCATCATTAACTTTTTTTCTATCTCTCAATTTATTCATTTACTATCTTTTTAATTTATACTCATTTGATATCTAGATTATGTGGCGTGCATGAATGACACGTTCTGATAATATATATACGCGATTATCGGACAATGAAACTTTTCATAAACATGTATCCTGGTCGCGATTGAAATGTTTTATTGTTGTATTTTCCAACACGGTGATATTGGAATAACAAGGACAATGGAATTCGGTTAAAAATATGCCGACTCGTGGACTTAATTATTGTCTGCGAACGCAAATGGAATTTGCTCAATCGAATGTCTATTGCTATATCACTCGCAATAATCAACGTACATTACGTATTTATTAACGAAACGTACATATTTATCAATATTGTAATTCGATCGAGACGTATTTCCTATAATCAGGTCAACATCTAGGTCAACTTTCTATAATATCATGTTCTACTTCGGAAAAATTTTTAACACTTAATTTCTGCGTCCATTATCGTGAATAATTTGAAGCAACAGAGATAATGTTGCAAAATACAAAACTAACTTTTAATGCAATTTAAAAGATTTAATTTGCTTGAAAAATTACAACTGACGTCATTGAAGAAGTTATATTTTTGCTAATGCAATGTATTTGTACGTTGATTATTCTATGAATTGTATATATGATTATATGAATGTGTGTATGTAGTTATATATCTCCCACACTTCCGGACTTGACCGATTGGCGTGGATATAATATTTAAAGGCGTGCATGCTAATTATATCTGGGCCCGCGTAGTCAATATTGCGTACACATATCGCGGTACAGTTACGCGAATGCGAACATGTTATCGGTGTCACGCGGAAATGATTAAAAATGTTATCACCTCAAAAAAAAGATAGGTCACGGTAATGGCCAAAAAAACGCCTTTGATCTTTTTTTATATCAAAGTTATTAAGAAGATATGAAAGAATTAAGAAAAGATATGTCACGAAACGTGTCATATATTACATGATGATTACAAAAAACCACATCTATCTTGTATCGATATGAATTTGAAATAAAAGAGAGAGAAAAAGATATCCGCACTAAACAGTTTGTATATTATTACTTTCAGGGAAATTATTTTAAAAAACATATAAATTAAAATTATAATATATTATAAATATATATAATATGATATAAAATATATACAATATATATGCAATATAATATTTTCTTTAAGAATATTTTTTGAAAAAATTAGGCAAAAGAAGATACTGAATAAGTTTAATATTTTATAGAAGTTCTCACGAAATAATACAAAAGAAGCACTTGTTCTTACTTATTCTCACTTCTTTTCTTTTTTTGTCAATTTTTCATAAATCTTTACTTCATATAAATTGATATTTTACATCTTGTACTTTCCATTAAATTTTATTTTGTATATATTTTACAAACTACCTTTAACCTGTCATAATCTTCTACAGTATTTAATTGTAAGACGAGTTTATCGAATTATTTTTTCTAATTTTCCTATTTTTTACTCATTTTTATTGCGAGGCTATTCTAGAGTTAGGACCGATATCACAGTCTCCGATTAACGTGAATACAGGTATAGTATAACTGAAAGAGATTAATGTTTCTTAAAATTCTCGTATCAAGTATTTCATTAAATGACAAAACGAGATTCTTGCATCTAATCGTAAGATTTTTTTTATATTTTATATTACTTTTCGAAATAATTTTAAAAATTGCTTATATATATATATATTAAAAAGTGTTCAAGAAAAAATTTATAAACTGTAATTAGATTTTATTTCATTTGCAATAGACAATAGTCGTCTTGTATAAAAAAAAACTTTAATTAAGCGGATTGACGTCATAAACATGCTTAAGTATTTCATTTAAATTCAGTGAAGCTATACATTTGGAGACCTACAAGAAGAACTATGTACCGTATATCATTTAGGTCTACGAACGTCAAATGAATAAATTAGAGAATCTGGTAGTATAATCGACTTATGTCAATACGACCGAATAAGTTGAATTGGCGGTAACTTTCGTTTGAACGGAAAATATCTAAGTATTCGTTTAGAATCAATTCAAAAATGTATGTAAAACGAAGAAACCGCGTTCATTTTGAGAAGTGCTGATTCACATTCTAATAAATTATGTCACAACTATAATCACGCCACATAACGGACTTTGACATTTGATTCTAAACTAAGGGCCGATATCACAGTCTTCGATTAAGGACGTTCTCTCGTCCTTATACTATAGAGAATATCGATTTTCTTAGGATTTTCTTGAAACTGGGAATATACGTTAATTTAGGTGTGCTTTATGCGTGGTATAAATTTCAGTACCTTTTCCGATATAAAAAATCAAGATACTGAGCCTCAAAATTTCAACTTTTACTAATGAAAAGGTTTTCCAGGCCAACCGGTAAGAGATACGTTGGCCAAGAGGACCAAAGTTGCTCCTCTCGTCGAGTTCTATAAGGAAAAAATGTCAAAACTAAAAAAAATTAAATTAAAAAGTTTTTTTTTGAAACTTTGAGGCTCAGTATCTTTATTTTTTATACCGGAAGAGGTATTGAAATTTATACCACGCATAAAACACACCTAAATTAACGTATATTCACAATTTCAAGAAAACCCTAAGAAAATCGATTTTCTCTAGTATAAGGACGAGAGAACGTCCTTACTCACTCTTCGTCTCTTTCAAGGGGGACAGTTAGAAAGAGATGCAGAGTGAGTTTAATCGGAGGATCACGTTAATCGGAAACTGTGATATCGGCCCTTAGTTTAGAATCAAATGTCAAAGTCCGTAATGTGGCGTGATTATAGTTGTGACATAATTTATTAGAATGTGAATCAGCACTTCTCAAAATGAACGCGGTTTCTTCGTTTTACATACATTTTTGAATTGATTCTAAACGAATACTTATAGCGTTTTTCTTTGGCAGAACTGGTGCGCACTCAGTGCACATTAAAGCCGTTGTACACAAATCAACGTAATGTGTATTTTTAATATAAACGGGTTAAATCATGAAATCCTCAATATTCTTTATTGCACTATTTGGTAAAATATGTACTGGCTATTTTATCAGTCGAAATATTTGCATTTTACTTTAAATATTAGAGATTAAATCAGTGTACAACGGCCTTAATGTGCACTGAGTGCGCATCAGTTCTGCCAATGAAAAACGCTATTAGATATTTTCCGTTCAAACGAAAGTTACCGCCAATTCAACTTATTCGGTCGTATTGACATGAGTCGATTATACTAACAGATTCTCTAATTTATTCATTTGACGTTCGTAGACCTAAGTGATATACGGTACATAGTTCTTCTTGTAGGTCTCCAAATGTATAGCTTCACTGAATTTAAATGAAATACTTAAGCATGTTTATGACGTCAATCCGCTTAATTAAAGTTTTTTTTTATACAAGACGACTATTGTTTATTGCAAATGAAATAAAATCTCATTACAGTTTACAATTTTTTTTTGAAACTTTTTAATATATATATATATATAAGCAATTTTTAAAATTATTTTGGAAAGTAATATGAAATATAAAAAAAATCTTACGATTAGATGCAAGAATCTCGTTTTGTCATAATAAAATACTTGATGCGAGAATTTTAAGAAACATTAATCTCTTTCAGTTATACTATACCCTATACCTGTATTAAATTACTGAAAGGATATTACGCACGTATAATTTTACATAGGTATTAGGTACATAAGTCGAACGAACACACGCGATAAATGATAATCAATTCCGCGATTAAATCAATTTTTGCATATCGCTCACAACATGACCGATTCTGCGAAGTTTGTTATCGTATTTGGCGTATATTCGGTGAAACACGGATTAACGGCGACCGTTAGTTCTTAGGCCCGGTCTACAATTAGTCGTATGTCGGAGTCGGATGTCGCAACGTAGCCGATGGTCCAATGAGAGAATTTCTTTTTTGGAAACGAATTTTCCTCGTTGAACCATCGGCTACGTTGCGACATCCGACTCCAACATACGACTGATTGTAGACCGGGCCTTAAGCGGCAATTTCTAGCAGTATTCAACGATCGATGAGCAATGCAAAATGTCGAGCTGAATCGATAAAAAGAATTCATAGCTTCGCGAACGATAGATATTTTACGACGCGTAAAATTGCCATTTATCCCTTTGGAAGTTGGAACGGTCGGAAGTCGAGCTATACTCGACCATCACATTTTATACCAGCAACTCGAATGTCGAGTGTTCGACATGGATATTTCTAAGAATTTATTGTATTTTTTTAAATGTTATTAAATCTTCAAATATAACGACGCATTATAATAAAATCCAGTGTTTTCGGAAATAAAAGGTTTGTATTTAATTATCGAGTTGTTGGAACGAAATGTTGATATTTATTGTAGAATGCAAGAGGTTAATTATGCCTATTGCAATCGTGTAACGGTAAACCTAACTTGATAAGGTCGTACAAGTGTCGTAAGCTATAAGAGAATATCCTGTAAGACCAGATGTTACACATCGCTCTATAACTCTACTTGCAAATTATACAGAAAGGAAATCAGTAAAAAGACAGAAAAGTTTTGATCTTTTTAACCGTTATCAATTTTTACTTTCCTAAATAATATAGCACAAAATAATATTTACAATTTTATACAATATTTTAATTAAGGAAGTATTCTGGTGTGAGAAAATTAAGTCGTAGAAAAAGTTACTTTTTTATGAATTTTTTGTAGGAAAACGAAAAAAAGCGAGTACATTAAACTTTGCATGTTCTTTTAACCTTATTTTAAGAATATATTTTAATTTTTTAAGTAACAAAAATGTTCTTTTTTATGTTATATCCTAGTCACTAGGAACTCGCAAGAAAAAACGTATATATGGACGGTGTAAATGATTCTAGGTGTTCTAGATATCTGAAACGCAAAAATAAAACATTTTCTCATTCAGAAGAAGTGTGGCTATCGTCCGAATAAACATTATACGTTTATTAGTTTATTAGTTTTTCTTATAAATAAAATACTAACAATCATCATTCTTTTATGTTTAACATGTTTCAAATATTTTACGCATATTTGAAATGAGTGTTTAAATTTCTTTCTCTCGTTTCTTCATTTTTATTTCGCAAAGCAACTGAATCCGATAGCATGACATCATATTCCGTTCAGATACATATTATCGCATTGAAACAAAAATAAGTATGAAGAAATAATTTAAAAACAGTGTTAAAAATTCGTTTAAACTTGAGTGGAAGATGTGCCGAGCGAAGGTGTGTAACGTAACCACAGCTAACGAACCAATATTTATTCGCAATTTTCCAAGCAAATTACCAATCCTTGAATCAAATGATATATTGATGTCTACTTCAAACTCGTGAGTATTATCAATGTTGAATTGCTGACAGTGACAGATAAAAAAAATTACACAAGTGAAGTACGTAAAGAAATCTCGACATCCGTGTGTAATTTTTTTTTTTTGCTCTTTCGAGTATCACATATGATTATTCAATTCGTTCGATCTTCCACATTTAAATCTCAGTTAAAAATGGATTGTGATTCGATAGTTACGTAATTGAATGCGATTAAGGATCGGTATAAATGAGAGTGGGGAGTGTAAGATTAATTTACTTCGCAAACATAATGGTCGTCCTTTCGACGCGCAACAGATTATAACTCCGGAGTATAATTGGAACCATTTAGCGAATTAATTCCACGCTCGCAATGACCTCGTGAACGTGTCTGACGCCTTTCAACCACGCGAATCCATTCTTAAATTCAAGGAAATTCAGTTAAACAAACCGTTAACTCAAAAATTACATATGTCCGTCTGCCGGACGTGTATACATGCGCTTGCTTGCATTTCTATCTTTTTCACACGTTTTTAAACACGTTTCAAAAAACATTGAAACATGCGCATAATTTGAATAATAAATTTTCGCGAAAAAACCTTGTTCATCAGCTAACTTGATTCGAGTTTTATAATTTTAATAGTGCATAAATTTATGAATTACAAACATTTTTTGCGCTAAATGTAAATTATACGTTCTATTTCAAAAAAGCAAACTTTTATTTTATATCACATCAAAGTTAAACAGTTAAAATTAAAATTTATGTGTATCTTTTTACTGGTTTTCCTTATTGCATAATTTGCAAGCAAAGTGAAATATGATTTTAATCCCGATTTTAGGTGCAATTATAATTGATAATCTTCCAAGATAATCTTCTCTCGCGTTTCATAACACGTGTCTAATGATTATGTCGCGGGAACTCACACATAAAAGACTTTATTGTTGCTACAAGCAGCGTAATCAAATGGTTCGAATATTCATTGTTTCAGTATCTTATGAGCGGTTGGGCGAAAGGTTACAGCTTCCGATGCCAACCGGTGGATTATTCGTCCAGCCCGATGGGCCTCAGAATGGCAAGAACCTGCTGGTGGTACTACTTTAGCAAATTTACCGAGTTCTTCGATACGGTGAGTATCGATTTTCTCTTGACTTGTCGATATCGGGTAAACCGAGGAACAGATGTAAAAACATAAGTTCCACTCGATAAATTCATTTATAACTTTGGAATAAATTTTAACAAGCATCTAAAATACTTGTCGAAGATTCTTTCAATAATTTGTATAGAAAAATAGCTGGCTCCGTCTATATCTATTGCTTTATTTAATGTTTTTAAAGATATATTGAAACTTCCCAGCTTGTAGATATATTGCAACTCCACCGTTCGTTCTATTACTTTTTATTATTCTTATTAATATGAACCATCATCTCGTTATTTATAAGGGTTTTATATATTTATATAATTGTTATATATATAAGGAATATACATAGAACTTGTTAAACTTCAATCGGAATGGTATTTATTATACCATTGGAGAGTTAACGAAATAATCCGTTGGGAAAATACTTTAAGCAAAATTATCAAAATACCGAGAAAGATGAAGAGAGTAATCGAAAAGTTTGCATGATTTTTCAGCTGTTCTTTATTCTGAGGAAAAAGAACCAACACGTCTCAACGCTTCACGTAATTCATCATGGGGTAATGCCTTTTTCCGTGTGGATGGGAGTAAAATTTGCACCGGGCGGCCACAGCACATTTTTTGCCCTCCTAAACACCTTCGTACACATCGTGATGTACTTCTACTACATGGTAGCCGCGATGGGACCACAGTTCCAGAAGTATATCTGGTGGAAGAAGTATCTCACTACCATGCAAATGGTAAGTTCAGTGTTACTTCGTATTATTATGGACTTAGACGTGAAAATTGCAGCTATTACAGAACTTCATGCGCTATTATATCTTTTGTAAATAGCACTCTATTTGATATTTTGTCGACGATTGAGCGCATTTTATATTTAAAATATATTCTACATTTAAAAGATAATATTTTTTTACACAATAATGGATTTGAGGGGCCAATTTCGGATACAGTTAAAAATTTACACGCAGAAAATGTGTAACTCTTAATCATAAAAATGACCGATGTCCAATAAAATTAGTTAAATAAATGGAATTGACAAAGCGGAATAAAATGAGCCGTTGACCGAGTTCTCAATTTGCTGAAATCCCATTCACTCTGTAATCCCACTTATCTGTCTGTGTTACTACTTAGTTTCTCCAGCCTTTAAAATACATCAACATATTTCGGGCCACGGCGATTCAGCACAAATTTTGTATGCGTTGAGTTTTTATCATCGCTTTCATTATTACTTACCTGGCAGTTTATCCTTCTTCTGGTTTCAGATACAATTCGTGATGATCATGAGCCATCAGTTCCAATTGCTCTTCATCGAGTGCAACTATCCGCGCGGTTTCATGATCTGGATCGGCTTGCACGGTGTCCTGTTCCTCGGGCTGTTCTCGGATTTCTACAAGACGAAGTACACAGGCGGCACGAGGAAAAACTCCGGGAAGAAGATGCAAAACGGTACGTCCGGTGGAGGAGCTTGCATGCCGGTTTTGGATGATAACGACAGTGCGACGCACAACGGCGTGTCCTCGTACACCACGATCTACAACAAGGAGTACAACAGCTGTTACAGCAACGGCACGAACAACGGTTACGTCGCCAACAATAACATTACGGAGAAAAAACTCGCTTAGGACACGTGGGAAACTCGAACACTTTTTTCGGTGTGCCGGTCAGCTGCTCGTCTTGTCGTACCTACAATTACCGTTCGTCTATCGTGAAAAATCATTTCGCAACATGTCCACAAACTTAGGCGTGAGAAACACGAAGCCAAATTACACGCGTGTGTAAAGAGGACAAAGAGACGAGATTCTCGGATGAAAGAATGGCATGCATAAAAAACGAGACGTCTCGTTAAATATTCTGCATTGTTAGCAGAGCAGTAGTTGTGTTCACTAACATAGTATCATCGACGACAGGGCTGTTACGACGTTCGTGTTAAAAATAATAGGAAGGGAAAGGAGAAAAAAAATAAATGCTGTACTGCATGGTCGCTAGAAAAAAAAAATATTGCGGAATCTTCATTTCTGAGTTTTGGTGAGATTTGGCGTCGTTGAATTAGTGATTTGTGATCTGCCATACGAAAATAGAACATCGATAATACTATCGGAAATTGTTAATAGTACAGATAAGAACATTAGCGCAAAAAAAAAACGAGAAGACTACTTTTATGGTTTTCATATTTGACATTATAGAAACTACGCTGCGATTTATAAAAATCTTTAAATTGCGACTAGTAGTTTGTGCTAATTAGAGAGAGATCGCATTCGACGTGAATGTGAGAACAAGCTGGGTAATTAAAGCGCACACGTACATGACGAGGAATGTAGAGCATTCGTCGTTGATAATTATACAAGCAAGAACGGCGTGTTCGCTGAGCGTGCAATTTTTTTTGTACTGGTTACGTATGTATCGAATACGAGTGTGGATGTTTCTTAGTCGTACGTAATTTTTCATGGCATCTCCCATTGAGGCACATTGCTGAAACTGAACCATTTTTCTCCTCTTACTATCATTACCAACTCTGTCTCTTTTTCTAGCTCCAACTGTGTTCAGAACTCTAGTGTTCTTAAAAATTATAATCAGCGTGCAAACGAATTCGGCCAGAATATCGTACGACAGAGTTGGCTAAAATTATATTGGTAATTATAAGCTAATGATTCGTAAAAATGATCAACAAGTAATTGGAAACTGCCTCGTTTCTTTTTCCCCAACAACTGTCGAGTTTTTCTCAAGATAATTATATATCTTGCCATTATTTAATCAATTTTTCAAACATGACAACATTAAATTATTATGATCTTAAATTTACCCTGTGTTTGTTCTAAATTTTTTTTATTTTAGGTCCCCATTTATCCTATTTATAAAATGTATTTTTATTTATATATTGTCCCATATTTTGTCCGAAAATATAGCAATAATTTATTTAACATTGATAATTTCTGCTTTTTATCGCTCGTCGTTCCCTAACTTCACGGAAGCCTTACGAATTATTAGCAGCATGTATCAACGTCATCGGCTATACCTACATAATTTCCCACATATTTAATTCACTGCGTAGCTTGATTCTACTACTGACGGTACGGTGACGTCTATAGTAAGCTGCCGAAAAGAATTTGCTCGAATTTGCTTTGATCGCTTTGTATTCAAACACGAATAGCAAATGTAAGCCGCACTGCGGCTTGTTATTATCGTGCACGACGCGACACGGGCGCTTTAATCGATCGGAAAAGGTACACGGCATTCATGTCGCGAGAATCACGAAGCTCTAGTGTCGTAGAATCAAGCTTCAAGAAAGGGAGCGCGCACCGTGCTAAGCGAGTGCTCTCTTACACGCAAATCCGTAATAAGTTTTGATCACGCGGTCGCGGAGGAGCCGAACGAGTGCGAATGTGCCTCGAAGTTATGTATACACATACACGCGGATAATACTATATTCGAGGGGGAAGGGCAAATGTTTAGAGATCGTAATAGTCGCACTACAAGATTAATATATTTGTACACACTTCCTATTTTTATGAATATATTATTTATGGTGATCCAGACTTAAATAAAAATCTCTGATGATAAAACGTTTTTCTCTCGACTGTAATAAATTCAACCTCGGCTATTTTTACAGGCGAATAAGCTAAGCTCTAGCGAACGAGAGTGAGAACATTTAAACGTTATAGTCTTACATCGTGTTCGTCATAATGAGCTTCCTCATGAAAGTATACACACATCGGATGACGATTAGTCCGCGAGACAAACGGAAACGAGCGTTCGTCATCGAAAAGCGTTCGCGCATTTCTTTTTATTTATGCGTTTATACAACGAGTCTCGCATTTGTAAAACGTTTAAATCCTGCTTTATCCAAACGCGATGACTTCTTCGATTAAAACGCAGAAGCGCATATAGGGTGATGTAACTTACGTAAGTCCCCGGAATTATAAAAATGTTAAACAATGGGACTATGTATATTTAATAGATTATTACACATAGAATTAATTTATGTACGTAAACGCGTCTCCTATGTTTCTGTTTATTGCAATGCATTTCGAAATTGACATTGCGGTCGCCGATTTTGCATCGTCAATTTTGTTATTCATTTATCGAGGCTTTGCTTTGTCGCTCCGGTTTCAGTATAAGCGTAATGGTGGTCATTGTCATGTCTCCATTATAACGAAATACGAATGACAACGCATACGCATAATCTGAAAAACTGCCGTAATTGAATAAGAGCGTGCACGAAATTTCGTAAGAGGCGTGTGAATTAAAAAGCGGAAACCTAAATTAAGAGAAATATTTAGCGAGTTCTCTCAAAGCGTTGGAAGATAGAGCTTTACGTAATTTTTTTATCTTACGCACAATAAAAAAAAATGCGATAAAAAAGTAAAGTTACTTCCTAACTAGTTAGACGCCTAGATGATAGTTAGGCGTACTGTGTTACGTTACCTTAGTCTTGTTTAAGTTGTGATATTGCGGTGTAACAATACTAATTAACATGTTTAAGAAGAAAAGAAATTTGGCGAAATAAACGATGCAGCGTATTATAACTTTTTTTATGAGTATCTTCACAAATAACCGTTTTTAGCGAGAATAGTAGATCACATTAGGACTGGAAGACTAGTGAAGGATCCTGTTGCTTGACACAAAACGCACAGAATCGAAAGATTGCGCAAAACGTTTGCGTTCCTCACCGATAAACGGATTGTGAAACTGTTATTAGCAGAGATCAGGGAAATCTTCCGATTTTTTATCCTTATTAACGAACGCAATACTTTTCCTAGAATATTACTGCTTCTATATTTTGCACTTTATTAACATAAGTAAGCCAGCGAGGGCTTTTTTCTCACGCATTGACCGCACAATATTTTTCTAACGGGAAACCAGATTGACTGCAACAGCTATCTGCGATTTCGCAGTATAGCTTTAATCCTTCATAAATCTTGTTATTTATCGAGGAAATGACTATCATTATTTATGACGGGGTAATTACTAATATTAATAATATCTCATTCTTCTTATATTTCCAACAACAGTTTTACGAAACAATTCCGGAAGTTTGTATGAAATAAAACAACCGAACATACGCCGTATTTTACTTGTTTTCAAATTTATAATATTTTATTCTTAAGGTTAAAATCTTTATATTTGAATGTTTTACTAAAACAATTGTTTATATTGTTTGATTATCGATAAGTTACATGTAAGTTACATATAAAACGCAAAGATCCGCGTAGTATTTGAGGGCTGAATAATAAAGCGATACTTTTACATGTACATAACGAGCGATCTGTGCGCGTATGGTGTGCTATCACGTTTCACAATTTCATGTGTTTTCAAGCGCACTTAGTAAGATCTACCGAGAAGTGCGAGAAACTGCGACAATGAGAGAGCGTATCGCGTCATGTACCTAAACATTACGAGCTCTGTAATGATTCTCATTATATTTTTGTACATAATTGGGGAAAATTACGAGAGAATAATAAAATGATTGAAATGAAAAAAACTTGGCGTACTTAAATATATTGCGAGGAAGAGTTAATGATACGCATACAATGTGAAATTTACCTACAATTTAAAAAGAAATTTGCCATATAGTTTCGAGTTCTTTTTAAAAAAGAACATGTATAATTTATATAATTAATTAATGTTTAATTAATCATGCGTAAACGAGAATCTTCGCATACTTGAAATTTCTCGCCATACATAAAAAATTATTATTAAATAATTTTCATTAACCGAGATTATTTTGAATAACAAATATAATAAATATAATCTCAAGTATCAATTTTATATTTTACTATAAGCATAAACTAAATAAATTATTTTATATATTTATAAAATAATTTTCGTAATAAATCGTCCTTTAAATCTCCAAAAATAGAATACAATTTTTCAAGATTGATACAAATTTTTTATTTATTAATATTGATAAGACGAAATAAATGATTTTTAAATTTCTGCAGATAATTATTTTTGGTAGCGCGAAGTGCTGCAATAGCAGAAAATGGCATCTCTTATTTTGGATATTTGCAACATTATTTAAATATTACAAAAAGTGCAATTAATGTAGCTAATTACAAAACAATGATTAATTCATCCATTTTTCCGATTGAGTGAAAAAATTACGTGATATATTCATATAATCTTTTATTTTTTTCCTATGTATAACCATAATTCATCTTCAATTTCCCTTGATTCGCTATACTCATTCAATCACGGGCAGAAACGAGTAATCGCAAAAAGTAGTTTAAAAAGTAACAAATAATAAATAGATACAATACATTACTCACCCTGTAGTCGCTTCGCCGTCGCCGTCTCCCCGGGCCTTTCCCCCTTCCGTCGACAACATGGCTGTTCCCCCGCGGCACTCGCGCAACATTCACGAAAACGCGGTCGGTTGCGATCACGCGCGCGCTGATCGCGAAAATACAACGATCGCGCGATACTTTGCACGGCACTCCCGACGTTAATCGCGCGCGACACGCACTTTGCCGCGTCAACACGGAGGATCGACGCGATTAAGTTTACGGTCGACCGAGGTGCGCTAACGATCCGTTCGTTCGATAAATAACGCGAGCAACAACGGAGGAAGTTCGAAAGCTCGTGCCAACTTCACGCGCCACGGGATACCGCCGCGGCGATGCTACACCCTTGTGCACTTTGTAACTTTCTTCGATCGATCTCCACTCTTCGAGATAAATGATATGAACAACTTCTACTGCTGTCTCGATCTTTGCTATGCTTATCTTACGTTGCAACGTGAAGGAAAGTACAAAATAAAAAGTACAAACTTATTATATCTATGGAATATGCGACGTGGCCGTCGCTTATTTCTCGATCGCTCGCAGGCTTCGATCGAGTCAATTTCGCGGAACGCGGATTTAAAAGCGAATCCCTGACGAATAAACGTTGAATTTGTACCGCGCGATTATCGGACATTGAGATATAAGACGCTAGTTACACTAATTACTCACTAATTGAACGCGTCACGTCGGTAGTCGCCGTTCGGCCCGGAACTGAGTGCGTACCGCTTCGTTTCTCGTTCCGTGTCCCCGAGACTCCATTAACGACGTGAATTTTGTAAGGGACGGCGGCAACTTCACCCTCGATACGACGCGAGTCAGTTCAGCAATCAAAATTCAATGCTACTCGCGTGGAGATATAAAACGCGGCACTTAATTATATATTTTTAATTATTATTAATAATTTCAAATATCTCAATAAACAAATAATGTTTTTAATATTTAAAATATCGAAATATATATATATTTAATAATAAGTTCTGTTTATTATTTTTACGTGGCAACCAAATTTTTAGTGGCAAACAGCCGGTGATCCTCGTTGCTGTCTCATCTCGCACGCGGAATACTCGGGAATACTTTTGAAGGGGCATAGCGGCGACCGGAAGCAACGGGAGGCAACTTCCGCGCTCTGGCGGCTCCGAGCGAGAGACGGACGAGACGTCGTCGCAACGACTCGCGTAGCACCGCGCTACGGCGCTAGTAGTGCGAGTACGTCCCGGAAACATGGCGCCCGAATGAAGGACGCTGAGCGCGAGTGCCTGCCAGATCTGTCGCGTTTCGCACACATCCGCACACAGTCGGCCCGCACGAGGTCGGCCCGCCCGTTCGCAGAATGAGCAATCTGTCGCCGTTCGGCGGCGGCAAGAACCCACCGTGGGTCCGCAATGCAGGTGAGAGAGAGGCTGGCGCGTGCGACGCGTGTTTTTTTTTTCCTCCCTACCGACCAGCGACGATCCCGTGCAATCACCCTCGTCGTCGTTCCGTGCGCAACGTTACGGATGGCTGCCAAAATTTTTTTTTACCACGTGCGCACCCTCGAGCTCGCGAGGCCGCGGCCCGTTACGCAAGCCCGACGCCGCGCGACGTTTCGTTTCGCGGAGCACCCGAGAATCGCCCATTGACCTCCAAGCTGGCCGTCGCCAGCAAGACCGTCTGCTCCGGAGCAACGTTGTTTTCTTTGTTCCCCGTTGTTCTTTCTCCGCGTTGTTGATTGCGTTTCGTGAAACTTTATCTCGAGTAAAATCAGTTTCTGATCTCCGGAGCAACACAAGATAAAGTGATATCTCGGAACTTGATTCTCTCTCTTTAGCATATATTCATTGTGTCGTAAAGAATATCGCGATATAAAAGTTTCTGACTGCATAATGATTTTTGATAATATTTTTGGGAAAGGACAAGGTATACAAAATATCCAGCAGCAAATGTTGGGACAAGCCATGGGCAGTATCGGAGGGCAGCCTATGGTGCAATATCAGCAGCAGACCCAACAAGTTTACCAACAGAGTCTGGGGTTGCAGCAGGTAGGATATTTCGAGACTCGGTGTTTTGCAAACATTCAGTGTCGGATTAATTGTAACGAGGTTAATATAAATGATTCTGTGCGTAGCCCAACATCACCATGGCATCCATGGCAACCCTTGGCTCGAATTTACCTTCGGGTATAGCAGGACAGCTGTATCCGCAAGTCGCCACGGTCTCTTATCCGACGCCGCGTGCATTGAACACGAACGCTTTCCAACCCTCGGTGGCCGGTGTTCCGCAACAGGTTCAACAAAACGTCCCTTCGTCGTCGACGAAGCAGAGAGTGTTCACTGGTACTGTTACCAAAGTACACGATAACTTCGGCTTTGTAGATGAGGATGTATTTTTTCAAACCAGGTAAGTAAAAACTGAGTAAAGGAAGATACTTTTTTTCTTTCTCTTTCACTTTTGCATATCTTTTAACGATACCTCTTTTCCTCTGTGTTTTAGTGCATGCGTGAAGGGATCTAATCCCGTAGTAGGAGATCGTGTGCTCGTAGAGGCGTCGTACAACCCTTCGATGCCGTTTAAATGGAATGCCACTAGAATACAAGTTCTGCCTATGGGGGGTAATAATAGCAACAGTGCAAACACCCAGCAAACCAACCAGCCGAACCGTCAGCAGCAGCAGCAACAGCAACAGCCAAATAGGACATCCGGCACCTACAATGCTGTACCTCCTCCCACGGAAAATTCTAACAACAGGTGAAGACAATAATAATTGTTAAATTAACTATATTATGTGACCTATATCTGCATTTCTGCGACATAAAATAATGCTATTTAAATTTGGACATCAAATATTGAATATTCGAATCCTCTCGTACAATCATCAAATAATTCAAATTCACCAACTATTTATTTAATAAGTGTTTATTAATTTGGAGACAGTCATTGAGAACAAGATTTAAGTAATCAGAAATTTGAATCCAAATATTTAAATCCAGATTTCGAAATCAAGTACAAGTTTCAATGAATATTACAGACAAGCGATATCTTATCGATGGAATTCTACATATTGTAGTAGGTTCACAACAAGTACGACAAATTCCAACACGACCAGCAACCGTAACAAAGTCAGTAGAGTAAGAGAGAGATCTCCTCGTGAACGGAGAAATGACGACGAGGAAATAGAAAGAAAGAGACGCCGCGAAGAGAGAATAAGAGAGCGCGAGAAGAAGGAGGAACGAAGCCCGTCGAGGACCAGGAGGAGCAAATCACCGAGACCTCGCCGGCGTACGCGTGTCGTACCGCGTTACATGGTGCAAATACCGAAAATAGCGCTTGACCTGTAAGTGCCATTTATATCCATCTTACGAACGTGCACCACTGGCAGTGTTTTATTGCTACTTATTATCACAGGCCTGAAGCAGATGTTCTTGAAATAAGAAGACGCTATCAAAATATGTACATTCCTAGCGACTTCTTTTCCACTAACTTCAGATGGGTCGATGCCTTTCCACCGCATATGCCATTTACTCTTAATAAACCGTGCTCCTTCCATGTTATGCATAAAGATGTCGATCCGTGTAGTGAAAATACAGCGGTACTAGAACCATCGGATGCCGATTATCTATTCTCTGCGAAGGTCTGTCAAGAAGTTGTGTCACGGTCGTCATAAAATGACAAGATACGAGCAATTTGAGATTTTTTACAAGCGCGCCGACATTTGTAGCGCGATAGAAATCGGGATATGCACACATATGCATATCGAGATGATTTCACGTATTGAATGTCTTTTAATTATTTTTAGGTCATGCTCATATCCATGCCCGCCATGGAAGAGATATACAAAAGGTGTTGTGGCGTTTCCGAAGACAGGGATCCCGATCGCGATTACGTTCACCCCACACGCCTTATAAATTTCTTGGTAGGCTTACGGGGCAAAAACGAGACAATGGCTATAGGTGGACCATGGAGTCCCTCGTTAGACGGTCCTAATCCTGAAAAAGATCCGTCTGTGTTGATTAGAACGGCCGTGAGGACCTGTAAAGCTCTTACCGGCATAGATTTGTCCAGTTGCACTCAGTGGTACGTTTTTCCAAATATAAATATACACTTTTCGTTGAATGTACATCTCTGGAGCACTTTCATAGACAGCTTTTTTTTAAAGCCCCGATTTGTTACAAAGAGCAATGTGATATCACTGATTTCTTCTGCCCGTTAATATTGCACATTCTGTATTTCCGTCGTTACTACTTTACAAACCGAAGGTCACAATTGCGGAACTCTTCATCTCTTAAAAATTCCATCCTTTTTTTTCTTAATTGTCTAGGGCTACGTTTCTAGAGCTATCTCCTACGACGTAAAAACGAATTATTCGAAAAAAAAAAAGTCAAGATATATATATCTGATAGGTGTACTATCCACGATCTTGACAGAGAGTAACTTCTCAACATCAGTTCTCTGACTTGATAAACTAAGATTGTAGCTCGATCTCTCTGCAGTGGAGGTATGTATTTATTCTAAACACGAGCGACTGATGGAGATTGCTGCACTGGATCCCGGTTTCGAGCACACCCTCCCCCCGTCGACGACGATACACGAGCAGTGTCGCGGCAGACAAATCATCACTATTGTTCTATTATTATATGATTGTGACCCACTGAGTTGTGCTTTCTCTCTCAAATGGTCTCTACGTTGTGCGCTGTACGTGGCTTTGTATGCAGTGCGTGGGCTTTACGAACAAGCGAGCGAACACTTAGCATATAAGGCAACGCTAAGCGGCATTAATCTGAGTTGACGTTTGCGTATTGTTTTTCCTTGCGGCACAGGTACCGCTTCCTGGAACTCTACTACAGACGCGCAGAAACGACCCACAAGTCCGGGCGAGTGGTACCCTCTCGCGTTGAAACCGTCATACTATTTCTCCCAGATGTTTGGAGCTGTGTACCTACCAGATTGGAATGGGACGGGCTGCAACTCAACTATAAGAAACAACTGGAGCGAAAGTTGCTGCGTGCCGCCTCTAATCCCGACGATTTGGACGCTGCCAATGAGACTGATGAGGCTGCCGCCGCTGATCAAAAGGCACTGCCAACATCATCCCATATTACTTTATATTACCTTTTTATTACTTATTATATATTTATATATATATTCGTGCCACCGTTTCTCCCCATTACTAAACTGGATTTTCAATAGGCTATACTTGTCCATCGATCCTATCAGTAAGTTTAATCTATCTCGGATACTGTATCTCGCCTTCGTTTCTTTTTCATGCAACGAATCACACTCGTCATCGATTTAAAAAATCATAATTTAGGTGTGTTGAGTTAACGTATTGGGGTATGTTTCGATAGACGACAGTAAAATTACAACTTTACTTGTACCATTGATAGATGGTTAAACTCGGATCTTTTTCAATGAAATATATGTCTATGAATTTGACTTCTTCCGTAAGATAAGCTGTCTTATTTTATGGGACAAGTCAAATTTGACAATATCGCAAAATTAAAGCATTATATACATATGTACAACTTTTAATAAGACAAAGTTTGTATATATATAATTATATTAAGATTATTGTTTTATTATTGTAAATTAACAAGGACTCTTAACGCAAACGCTTTTAAATGTCGCAAACGAGGATCGACGGGTAATGTATCGCTCCCTTAGCCAATGGCAGTCACATTGCATTAACAAGAGAAGCAAGCAAGCCTAGCTCGGAGAAGAGCGCAGCTGAGCCATTCCCTTTCCTGAAACCTTCACCAACATTGAGAAATTATTCAAAAGTTTTCATTTGATCATCGTTTTTATATTACAACATTATTGATATTATCCATAACCTACCGATCACACAGACACCAGAGCCAGGACACTATGAGATTCTAGCAGTTACTTGAGTCATACTTGACGGTCATCGTGAATGAAGATATGTGTATATCGTTACAATGTGAGAGTGTTGAAAAAAGTAGAGAGTGATGAAAGAATGAAGAGGGAGTGGTTTCGTTTCGTTATAGGGGCTGCTTCTGTTTTGTAGTTTTCTCTCTGGGCTTTTTACTTCTCTTTCACTAACGCGCACTTTCTTTTTCCAGGACGAATCGATGCCCGAGAAAAAGGATCCTACGCACTATTCCGAGCTAGATCCAAAGTCGATGAATGTTAGTATTTAAATGCGAAAACAAAATTTTTCCTATTTCTGTTCTGGTGCTTTCAAATTCAAATCTAATATGTCTTAATCAATGTAGGTGAACGAATTACGTCAAGAACTAGCAGCTCGTAATTTAAGCTCAAAAGGCTTAAAGTCACAATTGTTAGCTAGACTTTTGAAGGCCGTAAAGTCGGAGCAAGCCAAAGAGGAAGGTCGGCAAGACGAGGCGGATGAAAACGAAGAGGATGTCTCGCCACCGTCAAAGGAAGAGGACGATAAAAAATCCAGAGATAATAAAGATGTAAGCAGTACATATATGTAACATATGCACTTAAGTGCAAGTAGTTTTATTGGACATGTAGATATTGAGTATCAAATTATTTCTTGAGAATATTTCAAATCTTTAATATCTATTCATTCACATTGTTTACAGCATGATGAAGACAAGAGAAAACTTTATGAACGCGAACGTACTGTACTCGAAAAGAGATATACCCTGCCTGATTCATCGCATATTATTGTTCATCCATCTAGAATGGCTAAAAGTGGGAAATTTGATTGTACAGTTATGTCTTTAAGCGTATTATTAGACTACAGACCAGAAGATACCAAGGTATTTTATACTTTAGAAATTATTTTAGAAATTATCACTTATTCCAAGAAAGATACTTTATACAAAAATCTTTTAAATATGTAGGAACATTCTTTTGAAGTATCTCTCTTTGCGGAACTGTTCAACGAAATGTTGATGCGGGATTTCGGTTTCCGTATTTATCGTTCGTTATCCAGCCTTCCTGAAAAAACTAAGGAGAAGGACGAAGATAAGAAAAAAGATAAGAAAGATGATAAAAGAGATGACAAGAAAGACGATAAGAGGAAGGAAGATGAGAAGAAATCCAGTAAGAAGGATGAAAAACGAGACGATAAGAAGAAAGAAGATGCCAAGGATAAAAAGGATGATAAAGATGCAAAATGTAAGGTGGATGACAAAGACCGAGAAAAGGAGAAAAATGATGATGAAGAAGAAGATGAAGATGATGAATCAGATGTAAGAGAAAGAGAATTTATTTTTTACATTTTACCCCCCTTCCATGTTTTATATAAAAACATTTTCTTTAACGAAGAATACGCAATATTTTATACGTAACATATAATAATAGATAAATGCATTGTATTTTATAATATAAACATTGTTATTATTCATACAGGATGATGATTCCGTAAAAGACGGTAGAAGAGACAGAGATAAAGACGGAAAGAAAAGGAAAACGAAATTATACACACATGATCCTTACCTTTTACTCTCTTTTGTGTATTTCGATCAGACGCATTGTGGATATATATTTGATAAGGATATCGAAGAACTTATTTATACCCTGGGATTGAATTTGTCAAGAGCTCAAGTACGGAAACTAGTACAAAAAGTTGTTACAAGAGATTCTCTGCATTATCGCAAATTAACAGACAAATCGAAGGAGGACGACTTGAAAGACGAAAAGAAAGACGACAAGGAAGGTGACAAAGGTGATTCTAAAGCGGAGAACGAGGAGGATATATTGCGTTCGCTTGCCCTTGGTAATGCATCTTTTCTCAATATAAAACACATTTTTTTAACATAAAACATCGTACAATATGCGACTAAATTTAATTATTACTATACATTTACGTTTACAGGAAATAAGAAATTGTTACCTGTATTTGTGGGTGGCGGACCGCCCTCGAAAAGAGCGCGAAGAGAGGATTGTATTTTAGATAAAGCTGACGAAGAAACGATTCCGGAAGGTATCGTTATGTACAAAGGCTCTTTACTAGATGTAGAAAAACTTGTCAGTCAGTTGAAAAGATCTGAGAAAGCGCGTTTAGATACCGAAGACCGCATGATGGAATTGCAGCACGAGCTAACTGTAGTCAATGAGAAATCTGTCAAACAAACTAATAGTATTAAGGGTCTTTCAGAAGACTTGAAAATATACAAAGATAAATTACGGAGCTCAGACGAAAAGCTTAAGAAAGTCTCTGTGAGTATACTCGTTTTTCTGTTACACATATTTGATTCATAAAAAGTATGGAATTTCATCTCCTTACATTTAATTTAATTTTTTACAGGTGGATTGCCATACTTACCTGACTGCGGTAAAAAATATGTATCACATAGCGGCCAAAATGATGCAGAGTGATACGAGGAAGGTAGAGATAGTAGAAATTCAAGATGAAAAGGTTAGCGGAGAGATAAATGGCTCCGAGATGGAGAGCAAATTTAAAACTGACACCAGGTGGGGAGATAACAAAGTCCAAGTAAAAAAGGAACCCGATGTAGACAAGGATAAGAAATCTGACAATAAAACTTCTGTCAAGAGGGAAATCACCGAAGCGGACAAGGAGAAGAAATAAATCACATTATCTATTATAGTAGACGTCTGCACCGACACGAATAAAAGTTTAATTACTTATTTCACACGCACGTGTGCATGCACGTGTGCTGTTAGTGACACAAAAAAAAAAGAAAAAGCAGATGCAACTACCAAGAAGTTCATCCGATACCAAATTACGTGATCGGGACTCGATTTTGTAATCTTTTTCACTCGAGTGATATGTGGTGGCATCTTCAAATAATAATTAAAAAACAAGCACTTAACCATGCATAACAGTTTATAGATAGGCAAATATTTTACGTTGCAATTTTTCAGATCATTCAGAATAAGTCAATAAATTAAAAAAAAAAGATTTTTTGAAGTACCATTGATCTGCCGTTAAGTGCTAGATATTGATACACCGATATTTATCATTATTATAAGTTCAAAACTATGTTAACACCACAGTTACTTGACTCGGAAAAAAAGTGCATAAAGGTTTGTACTGGAAGTAATAAATAATAACGCATACACGCGAAATGTACGCGTTTCCATCGTTGTTCCATCGCTTGTCTATGTTACGCGAACATAAAATAATTTCTAAAATGAAACTTACAGCTGTAAGAGCATGTTTGGAGCTATTTTGTGTATTTTAAATTTAAGTTATAATTAATATAATATTAATTATATTATAATATTAAATTACATTTTTGTTATCAAATCATTCATCATTTTTTTTAAACAATGTGTTTCTTAATGAAAATTGATTATTTTAATTGATCTAACATATAATATATGATTTAACGCAATAAACATCTAATGCAATAAATGTAATACCAATGATGAACTTACATCAATATTTGGTTTCAGGCACATCTGTATTATTATGTTTTTATTGAACTTTGCGGAATTCTTTCTTATCTTGCTGCTGATTGATTTTATGATATCGGTGCAGCACGAAGTATTTAAAAATTATTCTTTTCGAAAAAAAGTTTATATCAGAATTGTCCAATAGCAACAAAACTTTTCGATAATTTCGAGAGTAATGAAATGTGTTACTGTTCCGCAATAAAAATAATTTCTTTTAGATGAGAAAATGTATACAGTTTCAGAATTCAGAGCAATTCAATGAGAGCGTTTCTTTTCATAGCCTAAGCTAGTATAAATATGACAGATGCATAATATCCTTTAAGTTACGCATTGTAACGTCCACCGAAAATGTCAGACACATTTACCAAGACACATTACCCAAAAATTATACTTCACAAAAACGTGTTCTCGAACGTGAGCGATCATGCGTGATCCCGCGTTTCAACTCCCAGACTTGCAGTTTGCAACTCACGATGCCAAGGATACTATTTTGTACATAGTTTATCTATTATATAGAAATTTTTTGTAGTTTGTTAATAGAAGGCCACATTCTTGTCAAAAAAAGGGACAAAGTAGCATCATGCAAAAGTATAAAAATAAAAGCATAAAATGCGCGAACAGTTTCGAATCTGTGAATCTCAACGTTATACAAATCTTATAAAAACAAAATTGTAATTATATCCTTGGGCACATGGTAGTCAAGAATACAACGGTAACAATAAAAATTATTCAAACAGTGACGTGTGTGTGCGTGACAATTTATAATGCATGCCGATTCGTTTTCGAATACAAACTATAATTTCTTTTTTTACTTGTTCGGATTATTCTTGAAATTTAATACAGTTGCGTACTTAAGCTTGAATATTTATTAATTTTTAATCGAATTTAACATCGTCGAAGAATTCGAGATAAATATAGAAAACTGAAAGAGTTTTCTATAATTCGTCATATTTTATTCACAATGCATGAGAAAATATATTACAGTCTATCTATAAAAAATTTTTTGGAAATTATAGCCTAATTATATTATATTTACTCTGTTTTATTGTAATACTATATGGAACACGAATTTTCGAACAATTTTTCAGAAACACATAATGAACTAAGAAAATAAAGTAAAAGTAGGATAAAATTAAAAGAACAATTTATTCCCAATGTCGCCTACACAGATCTCCGAAATTTACTCAAGTTTAGGTACGTATAAATATCACTGTAGATGACATTAAGAATCAAACGTTTTAGAAATTCATGCATACGAAAATTATTTTTATTTGCAGAAAATAGGTAAATTCATGTATTAATATTTATATGATATAGAAAGCATATTAGACCCCGAGATAATAATTTTATTTTTGTCTTTAATCAATGTCGTCGATAAGACGATAGGTGGGAGAGCGAATTAATGTCATTCTGGACATTTCTCTCCCATCTTATCGAGCAACTCCTTGTTATCGCGAATCATCTTTTCCAGACGTTCCTTCGTTGCCTGCGTCTGCCTCTGCTCCAGCTTGCGTTTAGCTGACTCTATCGCAGTTCGGTATCCGGTGACGTTGCGGAGAATCTTGATATGCTTATCGCCCGCGGCCAACAGATATTCTCCCATAGCGTCGAATGCCAGACATGTTATGGGCCCTGCAAAAAAAAAAATATTGAGTTCAAGTTCTCTAAACCGCGAAAATCAATATGCGAATTGTGCGTGTAATTTTACCGAGGAAGATGTCCTCTGTGGTGGTATCCAGAGCACCGGTAATAGTGGAGTAGAAAGATAAAGATGATCCATGGGCGATCACGAGGACCTCCGCGTTCGGAGATAAAGCGAGGCTTGCTGGTATCTCAGAGACTGTCGTGCTGTTCCAGGTGCCGGTCATCAAAACGTGCGGATCTTCTCCCTTTTCGAACTCGACTGGAAAAAGACAAATGCGTTGCGCGAGAGTTTCGTACGCTCAGATCCCAGTAAACACCAACTAACATTATAATTTCCTACTCAACAATGTAACTGTTATATGCAACATATGTTATATTTTATATTACACTTGTATTGAGTGTATTGTCGAAATTATAATATTGAACGTAATGTCACTGTTAGAGTTGGCGTTTGCTGGGATCCTACGTTTTACCGGTGATATTGTTACACTACTTTTTGTATTGTAGAAACGATACGTCCCGTCCTTGGACACGGTAGCCATGTGGCTGGTGTCGGCGCTAAAACCGAAATCCTGAACCCCGGATGTGTGCCCAGCGAGGTCAAACGCCTTGGCCACCGTCTTGAACTCCCCGGATTTGCTGAAGAGTACCTCCCACACGTTCACGTCCGGTGTAAAGCCTGGCGAGTGGATAATCCTTATTAAAGTCTCCGTATACTTTTCTCACACGGCGAAATTCATGTTTAACAGCAAAACGTCTCCTTACCCGAGGCGGCAACGAATCGGCCGCAAGGTGATATGCGTGCGCGATAAGTAGATCCCAGATGCATCTCCACCGTCGCCAGCGTCTGTCCTTTCAAGTCCCATATAATAAGATCGTTCGCTTTGCTGCACGTGATGATGTACTTCCCGGTGCACGCGAT